CCCCCATGCCAACCATAACTCTCCTTTACTGCAGACAGCTCCAATAAAGGATTACAATTACAATTAAAGTACTGAGCAAAGGGGAGGAAAAAAGAGAAAAGTCCGAGGATGGATCCCAAGGCAAATTAAATTGCAGCACCGTTTGAAAGTGAGCACAGAGTAAGTCTTTTGGGTTATTACTGGCTAACCACCCCTCATTCCCTCAATAATTAACTTTCAAGTTTCGTAATCAGGAACCAGAGAAATTGAAACAAAAGTCAAAAGTCCCAAAATGTCTACAGTGACCCATAGATCAAACCTCACCTATAATGAATGCTCCTGGTGGATCACCTATACTTTCTACCATCTGTGTTATTTTAAACGAATCCCTGCAAGGTGGAAGCACATTTCAAAACCAACATTTGAGCAACAGATGTGTCTCCAATGCCTAGAGGGCAAAAGGCAACAGCAAGGTGTATAATATAAAGAAAATAATGGTGTAAATGAGATAGAGCACCAAGTCAACGCAATGGCCAAAGTCAACATTGGCATACCGTCAGGCAGACCCCAATTCCTAGACTTTGGGGATGTTGTCTCTTTTTTTCCAGCGTAGTGGTGATAGCAGAGGGGCTCCGGAAATTCAGAGACTGCCGAGCCAAAACAGATCACTTCAAAGCGCCTTATTTAACGCTTGCTAAATTTTTCATCACAGTTGCTTAATATCCTGGGGAAGGGGAGCTTTTGAAGTTGCGGCGAGAGTGGGATGTTCTTCTGACAACTTTCCTTTTTTTTTCTCCCCCTCCCTCCTCCTTTCACCTCCTCCCTCTGCTCCTGCATCCCTCACTCTTTCCACAGGAGGCCAGTGATATTTGGGGCGCACGGTGGAGCCCCAGCGGGCAGAGCGAGGATGGGAGTGTGTCCCATGGAGCCGGCAGTTACCATGCCAACATGCTGAGCGTTACAGTCACTGTCGGTAGATCGCAGGAGGGTACCGCAAAACACCACTGGAGGGAAAGATATTTAACCTTTCACACACCTTTGAGGCAGAAAGCTCACCACAGAAGTCTAAAAGGCAAACAAGAGAGCTGACAAACATGGTTCTCTGACAGCCTGAGGGGATTTGGTGGGTTGATGTTTAACTCCACCAAGCCTGAGTATATGGTTAAATCTTTGACTTTTGCTGCTACATGTAAATTCAGGTGTGTTACTCAGTTAGGAGTTTATGGGCATTCTGTGATTTAATAATTAATGCATGGGCTGATGTGCCTATGGTTGTGACTGTCAGGTGTAGACTGGGAAAAAAGAAAGAGGAAAGAGGACAAGACAGGAAAGGAAAAGGAAGAGGGACAGGGGACAAAGGGAAAAAGAACAGACGAAGGAAAAGGACAGGGAAAAGGTAACAGAAATGGAAAGGAAAAGGAAATCGAACAGAAAGGAATGCAAAGGAATAGAAAGGAGAGAAAAAATGTAATATAGAGGAAAATCTCCATGGAAAAGAACAAAACGAAAAGAAAATCAAAAAGTTAGGAAAGGGACATTATAGTGAAAGAAAAGGGAAATGTAAAGGGGAAAAAGGAAAGGCAAATGGAAATGAAAGGGGAAAGAAACAGGAAAAATCATAGAACAAAAAAGTAATAAAAAGAAAAGGAACCAAATAAGGAGAAAAAAAGGAAATTACAAGAAAAGGGAAATGTAAAGGGAAAAAGAAAAGAAATGAAAAGGGCAGAGAACAGAAAGTAAAGAAAAGGAAAAGGACATGAAAGGGAAACGTAACAGGAAAAGTAAAGGCAAAAGGACATGAAAGTGAAAGGGAAAAGAAAAGAAAAGAAAAGAAAAGAAAAGAAAAGAAAAGAGAAAAGAAAAGAAAAGAAAAGGAAAGGAAAATGAAAGGGAATAGGAAAGGGGAAAAGACAAGGAAAAGGCAATGGCAAATGTAAAGAAATGGAAGGAAAGGGAAATGTAAAAGGACAGGAAAATGAAGGTGAAAATGGAAAGAAAAGAACACAAAGAAAGTAAATAAACAAGGAAAAGAAGAGATAGAAAAGTAAAGGGAAGAAAAAAGTAAAAGAAATTAAAAGGTGTGAAATCAAAGTGAAAATGGAAAGAAAAGGAAAAGAACAAAAATGAAAGTAAAAAGGAAATGGAGAAGGAAAATAACAGAAAGGAAAGGAAATGAGAAGAAAGGAAAGAAAAGGAAAAAGTGAGGGGGCGGTTAAATAAAGAAATAATGAAGTAGGGCGCAGTGTGTGGGAGAGGGACAGGCCAGGAAGGACAACCCCTGGAGGCGAGAGCTCACCCCTGAACGCGACTGGTACTGGGTTTGACTGACAGGCCAGAGTGCAGCGCAGGTCCAAACCTGCTCTAGCTCAGACTCCAGCCAGAGTCGCCTGCCACCGAGGAGGGCGAGGTGAGTCAGAACCTGTTAACGTGACTGGTGTCCCCAGCCTGACACCCCGGCACTCGCGCTCAAAGGGAAGAAAAAAGTAAAAGAAATTAAAAGGAAAGGGAACGGGAAATATACAAGCAAAGAGCAATACAAGGGAAAGGGAAATATACAGGGCATTAAAATCAAAGTGAAAATGGAAAGAAAAGGAAAAGAACAAAAATGAAAGTAAAAAGGAAATGGAGAAGGAAAATAACAGAAAGGAAAGGAAATGAGAAGAAAGGAAAGAAAAGGAAAAAGTGAGGGGGCGGTTAAATAAAGAAATAATGAAGTAGGGCGCAGTGTGTGGGAGAGGGACAGGCCAGGAAGGACAACCCCTGGAGGCGAGAGCTCACCCCTGAACGCGACTGGTACTGGGTTTGACTGACAGGCCAGAGTGCAGCGCAGGTCCAAACCTGCTCTAGCTCAGACTCCAGCCAGAGTCGCCTGCCACCGAGGAGGGCGAGGTGAGTCAGAACCTGTTAACGTGACTGGTGTCCCCAGCCTGACACCCCGGCACTCGCGCTCAGAGCCTCCCTCCAGCCCTGCCACTATTCCCCTTCCGCTCATCCACATCAAATCCTTTCAGACACAGATTTCAATTATTCACCCCATCCAAATAATGCCTTGTGACATGAATTATCTTGAGCTGTAATAATCCACTTAACTGGGAAAGAGCAGCTAATCAAAATGAGAAAAGCAGAGGAAAAAAAGGGGGACTTGTCAAGCAGTTAGAAAGCCAAGAAGCCTTAATAATCAACATTTTTCCCCGCTGTTAAGGACAGTGCTTTGAGCTGATTGTGCATAGATAAGATCCCTGAAGTTGCAAAGACTAAAGTCTCAAATCCAAAGAGATATACTTTATCAAAGTTAAGACTCTAATGATCTTTAAAAAAGCATCATATGACCCCTTTAATATTTTTGTGCAATATTATTATTACAATTTAAACTAAAAGTTTTCTGTTTTAATGTATTTTCAAATGTAATTTATGTCTGTGCAAAGCTGAATTTTCAGCAGCCATTACTCCAGTCTTCAGTGTCGCACAATCCTTCAGAAATCATTCTAATATGCTGATTCGATGCTCAAGAAACATTTCTTATTATAATTATCAATGCTGAAAACAGTTGTGCTGCTTAATATTTTTGTGGAAACTTGTGGATATTTCTTTATTTGATTAATAGATAAATTTACAAAAAAAGTTAAAATAAACAGCATTTGATAGAAATAGAAAAGCTTCACTAAACAGCATCCACTGTCCATTAGAGCGTTTAGTCCAGAAGTGAGCACATTAGGTGAAATATTGATATCTTTACACGTTTACTTTGCATTTCTTTTCACAGAATCATCATTTCTATTCATTTTCCACAGAATTACGCGATCGGATTAGCATTAGCAGCTTACAGTGCTGTCTCTGTATGTTTTTGTTCTGTCTCAGTCTGTTTTCTCTTCCGCAATCGCGGTTATGACTCAGTGGAAACTCATTCGCTGTTCATATGTCACACATATACACGTTCATAACCCGCCCTGTCTCTTCCGATCACAAGCTTCTCCTAAACTTCAACATTCTGTTCTGTCCACAGCAAAACCTGAGAAACATTTAAACACACAAAACATGAAGCAAATAAGCACGATTACGACAGTATATGATTTGTTTGTGATTTCCATGAGATTTGTTAATATGAGAAATGCTAAGCAGGTAGAGCAAATTGTAGCTCTAATGCATGTTACCCTGCTGTGCTTATATTTCATGATGCAAGAAAAATTTTTGTTTTCTATAAAGACTCTATTATAAATGGATAAATCTATATTGGGATCAATGTGGATGAAGAGGTTTTATAAAATGAAAAATAGAAAGCTGAAATGTTCTACCTGTGGTTGTGCACTGTGTAGTAGATGGACAAAATGGCTTTAATGCAATCTTATGTTTATGTTCAACTATGCTGTAAAAGGACCCCTTTTAGCTGTTATGCTGTATTTAATAATTGTTCAACAAGTCAGCATTTTGTAGAATATGCTTGAACCTGATAATTGTTGTTTTCTTTGACTAATTATTAGAACACCTAAATACATTGCTTGTAAATAGTGTTTGCTTCAGCCAGTTGAAGGTACAGTACAGTATGTGTGCACATGATCAGCATGGTACCACCAGGAAAAACCCATTTATATGTATATGTATATATAATCTCACTGACCCCAAACATTTGAACAGTAGTGTACCTATAGACCTACAAGACTAATAAAGTGGTAAATTCTCTGTAAAATACAGCCTCGTCTGGGTTATTGTTTTACAACAACAGCAATATGACTAAAGACACCAATGACCAAGAAATATTCAAATAATGTCCTTGAACGTGACTCATCCAATTAAATTTCAGAGCAGAGCATTCTTATAAAACTCAACCAATTAAAAAAGCAGGCAATACAAAAAGCAGAACCATACCATTTTTGCTAACAGTTTTTTTTCCCCCCTATTTTATTATACGCATATGGTAATAATATTGTTAATGCAAACCAATTCATTCAAATTCAATCCGGTGTTTCAGTCTGTTTGTACTGGTATAAAACGGATGCTGGTGAGTCAGACTCATAATCACTTACCAGCGCTTCTCTTGGAGGCACCTCTTCTCTGGCCGGAGCAGCGTTCTGAAAGAGAACAGCAGCCTTGTATTACAGCGCCATCTAGTGGCAGCATTTATGACATTTGATTCTATTACAGGTGCATCTCAATAAATTAGAATGTCGTGGAAAAGTTCATTTATTTCAGTAATTAAACTCAAACTGTGAAACTCGTGTATTAAATAAATTCAATGCACACACTTTTCCATGACATTCTAATTTATTGAGATGCACCTGTATTTTACAGTACAGAATTTGACACTACATGACGGCTTTAACCAAAGAATTATTTTTTTTTTTTAAATAAATTTCAGCAAGGATGTATAAAATCAATCAAAAGTGACAGAGTAAACATTTATAATGTTTAACCTCAAGTTCCACTAACCCTGACTGTCTATACACTGTAATATGATTCTTGATGGACTTTAGAGTTTACTGCATTGCTGATTGCCGTTTAGTGCCATTAATACTCCTGCCTTTATCATCATTGTGCAATTGCACCAGGCTTGGAGTCTCTTCAGTCTCTTCACTGTTTTGGTTCTGATAAGTGCATGATACCATTTGTTAGATCCACTTTAGAGCACTAAGTAAGCCTGCAAGGTTCCAATTAGGATATTTAATTTACTAATTAGCCATTCAGTTGACTCTTTTAAGAAAAACTGACTTACTGTAAAAGTAGTAGTCTTCTGAAAGCAGCCTTGGGCTAAACGTTAGGCTCAAGGACACAGTAGTAACAGTTTATATATCAGTGTTGTAAATTTTGGGGTTTTTGAAACAAGATTCTTTTGTTCAACAAGACTGCATTTATTTGATAAAAACAGAAAAATATTGCAATTATTATATAATTATTGAAATTTTAATAATTCAAAACAATTGTTCTCCATTTTAATATATTTTTCATTTTTTGTGTAAAAGCTCTAATTTTAATGTCTATGCTACAACATCTGCTATGTAAGAGCTGCAGATTTTCAAAATCTGATTGTAACTAAAGGCATTTCATTACTCCCAAAAATAGGCCAAAAATCAGCACAATGAACTTCTTATCTAGGCTGGTTTACACTCTCTAACAAACGGCAACATTGCAAACATTCTGAAGCTGGCAACAGATTTTGTATGTTAAGAATTATAACTGTCATTTTCACACTGCGCAAACACACACCAACAGGGTTGACACACTGATTGCAACCGTTCTTAACTTCAGAATACAGGCCAGGCATCCTCAACACACTTCCAAAAAAAACGGATTAAAAATAAGCATATCTGAAACAGTCATAGCATTCATAGGTTTCCTATGCAAGTACTTATGACAAACTTATGTTTCCATTAACAGTATTCAATAGAGAAAAAAGCACAGGAATTATCATGCGAGCGAGATTCACATCCTAACCTTAAAGCTGAGACGTTAAATTAATTACAAGAACATTTAGCTAAGAAGATTGCAAGCCCAAAAATGAAAAGTCTGTCATTAGTTGAAAAAAAAATCATGGTAAAAATATGCATTGGAAATGAATAGTGATTGAGGATAACATCAGGTCTTGTGTCCCAATTAAAATATAATGAAAGACTGTTATCCCTTTAATTCATTGTTGATTTATATAGAATACAAGTTGTAATAATTAAAAGTACTTTACATAATTTAAAGAAAAATATAAGAGCATGAATCAGGTTTAAAATTTTAGAAGATAAAGATGAGTAAAAAAAATTTAAGTAATAAAGTTGAATTAAGCAGGCTATTAATAAAAATGAATATGATCAATTTTAAAATAAAATGTATGAAATATTGTCAATTAATATAATTTATAAATATATTTTTATTATAAACTATTACAAATATAAAACATATAAGCACACAGCCTGAAACAAATGTGAGACATCATGTTCTTATACTAATTCAGTTAAGAATGCAGTTAAAATGAATGTGTTTACATCCTTTGATTTTATTTATTTTTTTTTTTTCTTTCCATTACTGATTTTGTATCAACCCTGAATCTGTTAAAGTATCATATCTCTCTAACATAGCCTACCTTTATTTTTCAAAGATGCAGGTTTGGAACAAGATGAATGTGGGTAAATGATGACAGGGTGAACTATCCCTTTAATTCTTTGCTGATACATTTCATAAATAATGCTTGTATGTCGGCTGTAAACAGATAAAACTGAGACAGATGAGCACATGGAGAGATGAATGTGTCATGTTTTCAGGGTCAACGACCCTGACTGAATATTACTGGATACTTGTCTATATAGCACTTATATTATTTCACAGAGACTGACACATTAATATCTGCAGAGGAATCTCCTGTATGCGTATTCTCTGCGGCCTGCACCTGTCACACACATCTGTCTAACTGCATGGGTTGAGACAGTGAACAGGGCGCTAGCAAATCAGCTAAAACGTTTCCAAAACAACATGGGACTGCCAGATTATGAGCTTATCAACAATTACAGCGTGACAAATCGTGCATTTACTGTGCAGGCCCACGGCGGAAAAATCAAATGCATGTTGTTAGCTGGTTGAACGTTATCAGCTACCTGATTTTGGTGGTCAGGTTGGTCCGGGGATGCCATCTTCTCAGAGATGTTAGCCAGAAGGCTAATGACGCTAACACTCCACCGGTGCGCGATTCTTCTTCTTCTTTCTTTTACTGGCAACCGCACTTAATAGTGCATTACTGCCATCATCAGGTAGCTTGGATCAGAAACATTTCTTCTATCTCTTAACATTTTCTAACCCCCCCATTACAAAGAAAAAGAAATAAATAAATACACTGGCGCTGCGTGTTCAGCTCCTCCAGTTTCCACCCCAATTCCCTTTAAATCCCAATATCCCACTATATCCTTATTTACCCGTTAGATATACTTTCCGTTCTACCCACACTATATCAGCATCTTCTACCTCTCTGTATATACTTATCCTACATTCTCTCCATTAAACCTGTATTCTTCAGAAACTGAAACAACACATTTATCGTACTATTTCCTATGTCTGAGTCTAATATATTCTTTAACGTTAACTCTTTTCCTTCATTCATCCATACTTGTTCTCTTAGCACTTCTCTTTCTTCATCATAACCCTTACAATTAATAATCACATGTTCTACAGTTTCACTCTGTCCACATTTCTCACACAATCCCGTTGGATGTTTAGATATTAAATGTAATGTTTTATTCAAACCTGTATGTCCCACTCTTAGTCTTGTAATTATACTTTCCTCCCTCCTATTTCTCCCACTTTTTCTACCTTTTCCCACTTTCTTTTGTATTGCATATAAATGTCTCCCTTTAGTCTCATTATCCCAATACTGTTGCCACTTTTTAATCACTTTCTCCTTTATTACTGATTTTATTTCTCTTATACTATGTGATAGCTCAATTTCTACTACTATTTCATCATCTACTGCTTGCTTAGCTAATTTATCTGCTTCTTCATTTCCTTTAATTCCCACATGGGCTGGAACCCACATAAACTGTACTTCTATTCTACTTTGTTTTAACTCAAAGAGATTTTGAAGGATTTCCATGATTAAATCTGGCCTTGATTCTGATTTTTGGTTATCAATACTGTCTATTGCTGAATATGAATCTGAACAAATTACTGCATTTTGTATTTATCTTTCCTTAATTGGTTGTAGCCTACTGCTAGCAGAATAGCCATCAATTCACCTGTATATACTGACAGTTGATCACTTATTCTAGCTTTTTTCTTCATCAGTAACTTTGGCGCATTAACTGCCACTCCTACTCTCCCTCTTTTTTGGAGGCATCTGTGTATATCCGTATATTATTTCCATACATAAGCCCTAAATACTCCTTTGCTCTCATTACTTCCATCTCATTACTCCCGTCTCTCTGTCTCATCTTCAGTAATGTTAAATCTACTGGCTGAGGAAGAATCCATAAGGGGTTATGTGGATACACGGTGCTCGATTACTTCTGTCTGAACTAGTCAAACGAAGTTCGAGTCATTTGCATTGATCGGTTCTTTTGAACTGTTCGTTTCAAAGAACGAGTTCAAAGTGAATATTACAGTTTTTTTCTTGATTGCTAACACACTATAACTGATTCATTTGGCACAGTTTTCCAAACCAGTCATACAGTTCTCAAAACAAAGACACGTTTCTCAAAACTTTTAACATTTCACCTGCTTTCACACATGTTCCAATTTGCTCATTCTGCAAAACTCTACACAAGAACAGCATCATTTTGCACAGGTTTAACCATGTTCTCATTTAGAAAACACAAACACACAATATAACTACCTCAAGAATCACAAAATGAACACAACTAGCACACATTTATCCATGTGTGAACATTAGTTTTTTTTTAATAGCTAAAACACGTTTCTTGAAACCATCACTCATTTTCTCAAAACCTTAAGCGCAAATCCAAATACTCAAACTAAATTCACGAAACCTCTGACTCTTCCATCAAAATCAAACAATCACTGCAAAACCATTTCACTTGCACTCAAAATCAAACAGTGCTCTCGGATCACACACACGAGACAATAAAATAAACACTACAGAGCATTCATTAGACACTACAGAGAAAAATGGAGAAGACTGCTTCCAGAACATTACAGAAAAAAAGTATATTGTATTGAGTAAACAATTTTGCAATTCTGTAAAAAATTATAGTAATTACAACTGAGTAAGGTGAATATATTGTATAGGCCTATGTACTGCAAGAATAGTATTGTGCTGAATATTGAATAGTTCTGAATGTTTATATATATTTAGCACTTGGATACTGCAGAAATAATGCAGTCCAACTGCAAAGGCCAAAAAGGTCAAATAAAACTAAAAATGAATAGCATGTTACAGTACACTCAAATACTGTATGTCTTTTTTGATAGACAAAGAGAAAAAAACCCTCTGGTCTGACAGATCCAGCCTTGATAACACTCTCTAAACCTTACTCTTTCTAAGAATGTGTTCAGAGTTTTGCAGAAAAAGTGCTTGAGATTTGCAAATAGAGCCTAACTGCCTGAACGTGTTTAACGTTTAGCAGAAAGAGTGCTTTATTCAACAAATTGGTTTAAGCTAGTGAGAATTTGGTTCTCTATACAGGAAAGTAGTCTGTGTATTTGTCAGGTTTGTGTGTCATCTGAGACCAAAGTTTGAGTCTGACAAATGAGAATATGTTTTTGGCTAAAATGTTTGACTTTGACCTGGAAGTTTGAAGTTTGTACAAATTGTTAGGCATATTTAGTTTTGAGATTGTGTTAATAGTTGTGAGAAAATGGTGCATTGTTTCATGAATTGTGTGTTGGCAATCGAGAAAAACGGTATTACAGAGCTCGTCCGTTTTTGTGAATCAGTTCAAACGATTCGTTTAAAAGATTCGGATCAAAAGAACGATTCGTTCACATCGCAAGGCCACCGAGCTGTTACAGATTCGATCAGCACATTTCAAAACACGGAAGCCGAAATGTATTTATTTTCAATCTTTTGTGATACATTGTCAGACAGATGGTGACAATATTACATGTAATGTGATTTATGTGGTTTTAGACACAAAATAACAACCATTAACAAAGTGTGAAGCCTTGAAGATACGAATTCTGAACTTTGAACTGACTATCATCATGGCAGAAGTAAAAGCGTGTAAAGTGTGTAACATTAGCCGACACAAGTATTACGGACTGGCGGTAACCTCTCTGGATCAGCTCAAAATAAAAGGTGGGTGAATTCAGCCTGAATTGAGTAAATAGCCTTTTTAGATGAAATTCTGAAACAGATTATCTATACTGCACATTTAAATCAGTGGTAATTGAAAATGTTTTACATACAGTAGGCATAATTTAAATTAAAAGACGTAGGCTAAGAGTCAAGTTTTAGATTATTTTAGAACATAAAGATGAGTATAGAAAAATAAGAGTAACAAAAGTTGAATTAATAAATTAAAGTAATAATAATGAATATATATATATATATATATATATACACACACACACACATTTTACATTTAAAAATATTTTTAATAAGTTTTCAGAATCAGTTGAGGATTGTTTAATTTCTCGTTTCATCCTATGCTCTTATTTGTCATTTGACACGTTCTCTTTATTTCTGTCACCCACAGGTGGTGAGGCTCTAGGGTTCAGTCCCAGTGCATCTGTCACAGTGGTGCTAGAAGATGATGGGACCATTGTAGAAGATGAGGCTTACTTTTTGTGTCTGCCAGCAAATACAAAATTCATGCTGTTGCATGCTGATGAAACATGGATGCATTCTCATCAAGGTGAAATCTAACCAGGATATTCCAGGATGTTTTTTTATTATTATTATTTGTTCAGCACATTAACTAATCTAAACTGGTATATTTTGTTAGTTGATGCAGGGACAGCACAGTCTTGCAGAAAGTCCACTGATGTTGAGGTAGATGGAAAAGACAATGTTGATGGCTTTGAATCTTGGCACAGTTTGGCAGAGCAGCTCAGACAGGACCTGGCCAGTATTATCCTCATGTCTGAGGCAGATCTACAGGTCTGTGTGATTCTGGCTTGTTATTTTGCAATATCATTTACAGGTGCATCTCAATAAATTAGAATGTCGTGGAAAAGTTATAGTGTATAAATACGCAATGTTTTACTGTGATTTTCAGAAAATAATTGTGTAAATGTGTTACAGAGTCTGATTGATGTGCCGTGCTCAGATCTGGCTGCAGCGTTGGACTTCTCACAGCAAAAAACCCAGGTCCTACAGGACACTCTGCAAAGAATGCTGGACCGCAGGGAAGAAGAGAGACAGTCCAAAGAGTTACTGAGGCTCTATTTGAAAGCCATGGAGCAAGAAGGCACCTGGGACCCACAAGAACAAAGTAGGGATATGTTTCAGATACCAGCAATACAAGAAAAATCCCCAAGTAAAGTCATAGCAGTTATTTAAAGGAATAGTTTCATAGTTTTTTTTCTTTCATTGAACACATTTTTGAGAAATTTAGCTTTACATCTCCTACTCATCAATTGATCCTCTTGTAGTGGATGGGTGCCATCAGAATGAAAGTCCAAACAGCTGATAAAAACATCACAGCAATCCACAAGCAATCCACATGACTCCAGTCCATAAATGAATGTCTTGTGAAGGCAAGAGCTATGTGTTTGTAAGAAACAAATTCACCAATAGGGCATTTTAACTTTAAAACCATAGTTTCTTGCCAGAATACCAGCCCATAATCCATAATAACATTTACAACAGTGATAAATTCCATCCCCTGTTGTTCTCCCATATCAAAATCCACCGACATATTTGTTTAGAGTCATTTTGATCTGTGCATGTTCCTCTCCTGAATTAGACGAGAAGACTTTTTTTTTGAATAGAGAAAGCAGTTTTATGGATAGAACACTCCTATTTTAGCCAAAAACAGTTTGGAGTTAAAAACATCTTAATAATAGATTTTATTACAAACATGCATTTTCAGTTCACAACATGTTAATTGATGGACAGGAGTTGTGTGGCTTACTTGTAAATTATTGTGATGTTTTTATCATTACTCTCATTCTGACGGCACCCATTCACTGCAGAGTATCCATTGGTGAGCTAGTGATGTAATGCTAAAGTTTTGGAAATCTGATAAAAAACAAACAAACTCATCTACATCTTGGGTGGCCTGAGGGTGAG